CTAATATATTTTGAATATTATATGGAAATAATGGTTATGATGTGAATGCTCATTTAGCAAAATGAGCTACTAAGAGAGAGATGGATGAGGTCCACAACTTTTGATGTGAATAGCAAGATGGGTTTCGATCATATGACTATCTATTGAAAGCTCATTTAGCAAAATAAACCGCCACATCATATTCGTTATTTCCTTATTATATATAATATATAATGACTCTTAAACTTCACATAGTGAGAAAGATAGATTATAAATGACTAAAACCCTTAACATTTTCCCGCTTTCAAAGGATTAACTAAAATGAAATGAGTGCGGATTAGATAGAAAACTAGCTGTAACTGTCCAGATTGAACTACAAATATGAATATGAAATAATGGCTAAGAATGGAGACTATGTTTTTTACACAAATATCAAGAGTCTCAAAAGGAAAAAAATAATAATGGTTTGCGGATTTTTCATGTAGATGATAATTAAACAATTACTTTATTTTATACTTTCCGAAAATTGAAATCAATTCTGAATCAATAGAAAAACGTATAATGAATAAATAAATAAATTCATAAAAATAATACAAAGCTAATGAATTACAATTTTAAGAAAATCCTTATATTTCATTGTTACTATTTTATAACATCAGTTTTTCTGATAAGCGTCAATTGGCACTCAAGTGTCAATGGGCACTCGCTTGGGGATGAGAGAGAGAAAGAGAAAAGTAGTACGTAGACTTTCCTGATTTGCACTAATTTCTCCGCTTAACTCTCCTCTATATATCTCTCTCATCTCCCAGCAAGTGCTTTCATTTCAACGCATGCATTAATCATGAGTGGAGCAAACAAAGACGCATAATGCATGGCATAGCATGCACCATAAGTATAGTTTTATACTAAATGAACATAATGAATTTACTCCCCAACTAAACGCATCTAAAACCTCACATAAAATAGTTAAACCTATGAAACTACAAAACTTTCAAAAAATAAATGTTGAAATCACATTCAACCATCGAAACACCTACACCGTAACTTGCGACAACTAAGGAGGCCATGACTCGTTACATTTCAGAAGATTTTAAATAAACCATCGAGTTTATAATCATTCCCCATAGCAATCCACTTATTACTAGCAAGAGAATACAACTACAGGAAATAAGAATTCGCAGGCCGGCCTATTTTGGTTTGCTATTTGGGAACCTGATCATCGTTTGAATTTAGATGATCGGCCATTGTGATCTGCTAACTCCTCAAGCCTTCTTCATCTTAGTTGAAGTTCGCAGGAAAATGAACCTGAAAGTCCAAGCAGCAAGAATGGCACCAATGAAGGAGGGAATCCAGTAGACGTAGAATTGTTCCCATGTATTATGACGGTTATCAATGTATGCCCATCCGTATGCCTGTTACGCGCAAAACAAATCATTATCACGTAGGGGTTTTTTCCCCTTCTAGAAATCACCTTAGAATAGGGTAATTATACGATGCATCTTTCAAATTCAAGTTATACATAAACCACCTTTAGAGTGGGGGTTTTTGGTTGCAATCAATCACACCATTGTCAATTTTAAACTAAAAGACAAACAATGAGTTCAAGAAATTCTGTATCCTAACAAGATTTAAACACAAAAAATGAGTCATTTATCTTGACTGCGAGTTTTAAAGGGTAATTTCTTATCAATAGTGAAATTTTGACTGGGAGGTGGTTGATTACAATAAGAACCCATTTTAAATGTGGTTCATGTATAAATTGAAATTGAAAGGTGGTTTCTATATAATTACTCTATTGAAGTAGTTTCTAGAAGGAAAGAACCCTAGATTGTATGAAGATAATAAACATTGAAATTAGAGATGAAATACTGAAGCTCCTGTTTTAGTTGGAAATAAGAAACAGGCAACATATGATTGTGACTGATGTTTCACGTTTTAGTTTTTCCGGGCAATCATTCAGATGGATGTTATTATGACAGATAATATGTAACCATCAATATTTTGGTATGCTTCAATTGTAAACGCAGCAAACATTACATGCAAAAAAATGTTGCATGCAACATTTATTACAAGAAAGCAACCTCAAATCTGTCATTTGGGTGTTCAGATATTGAACTAGGAAATGTATTTCAAATTCAAATCCAATGTTTAGTTGGTTACAAAAGTTGTTGGATCTGCATATTTTGTTGCACAAAGTGTATTTCCATTTGCTGATCAAATTTGTTTAGCTTGGATATCGGATGCACATTTTTCGTAGTTGGAATCAAAGTAACTTAGTAATGTGACACTAATATTTAATTTTTAGTTTTTAGTTAATGCAAGGACTTGTAGTGTTTATTGGAGCCAAATTGATTGCAATCTAAGTTGCACTTGTACAGGTGTGGTGAGCGTATGGGCACAGGATATGACAAATTTGTAAAGGTAAAATATGAAACACGACTGAAACTCATAGGATATAATCATAGTTCTCAGCTATATAAGTAAACACCCTTTTGGATCATAATTCTTAAGGTCGAAACAAACTCAACCCTTATCCAATAAGTTACAAAAATGAATGTGACGTGTATGATATAATCCAAGAAGTGTATGAAGAGTGTTTCGAATTAAACATGCACTTTATAATTGAGTACAGGTCCAAATAAATATATGCATATATTTAAGGAGTCTCCAAGAAGTCATGGGTATGGGTACGACACGTGTCGGGTATGGCTACCTATGAAGCACGGACACGCATAACATGAAGCCGTGTCGTGTCGTGTCCGTGTCGGATACACGTGTCGAACACACGTATCCTATGTATTTTTTAGGATTTGCCTCGTGTCGGCGTGTCGGATGGCCGTGTCGGATCCGTGTCCGTGCTACATAGATGGCTACGTCTCTATATTAGAATTGCCCTCGTAATACAGAGTACAACAGTTATTGCAAACCTTTTGCAACTGACTAGTGAGTCAAATTTCCATTGCTTACCAAACAACGGGAAAAAAATTGACTGCAGAATTTGCTGCTGTAGCTCTATTTCCTATCAACCAAGCAACCCCTTAAAGGAAAAAGAAGGCAAGGTCTGAAAGCAACTACAGTTTTATGATTATGAAATTATTTCAACTCCATGTTCCAAAATGAACAGAATATATTTGCCATCTGAATGTAAGAGGGGAAGGATTCCAAACACGCACCCCCCACCCACCCACCCCACCCACCCACACCCACCCACCAAAAAAAGTGGCAGAAGGACTACAGAGAAAATCTTTTATCGGCAAAAGAATTAAAGGATATAAATATAATGGCCTCGCACGCTATAATGAATATGTCATGTTAAAGCATGATTTTGCTTTACATTCTCTACTGCTGATAAAAGGGAATTAGTATATGAGTTGTAGCCAAAATCTTGACGGAAAAATTGAGATCAGTTCATGAGATTACTTGTGTCTTATTAGTATGAGTCATAAACAAAATACAATATACGTTTCACATGAGATCATTTGATAGTTAGGGGATGGATGTGTTAAGGAAAAATATATATAACTTTGTTTAGCATTAATTTCTTAAGTTAGAGGAGGTTCTACGATTTTAGTTACAAGTTCAGGGTGTTTAGTGAAAAATTACCCCTTAGATAAAGCTTTAAAAGACAGAATATTGAGCAAGCGAAGAGAATACATGTGTGAAGAAAAGGAAAACACATGAAAATTTAAGGAATATATATATATATATATAAATTAATTTCTTAAAGTTGAGGAGGTTCTATGATTTTAGTTACAAGTTGAGGGTGTTTATTGAAAAATTACCCCTTAGATAAAGCTTTAAAAGGAAGAATATTGAGCAAAAAAAAGAACAGATGCATTTTCTATTTTAAATGATCCATCCATTGTCAAATTCAGATAAATAGAAGAATAAAGGAGAAATTACAGCTTTTTGTTAAAAGACTAACAGTAATGAGTTATCAAGAAAAAAGATGACAGAAGAACATCAAACGTAAATGAAAAGAGACAGCTTACATTGATTGGATTCATAGATGGCCCTGTATATGCGCCACCTGAAAAAATCATTGCAACAGTCGCCAAGGCGATCATCAAATTCCTAAGGATAGCATTACTTGGACCCTTGATAATTATCCAAAGCACAGCAAAAGTAATAATGAAGGTTAAAATTCCTTCAGCCATTGCCCCAACATGCAAATCCACCTTCAGCGAAGGCCCTCCAAGCAAGCTCTTGTATTGAGGAGGCATCACCTCTTTGATCGCTAGTACACCACCCACTGCTCCAACAGCCTAATCATAAACATTACACAAGAATAAGTGATATGCCTTCTACACGAGTAAACAATAATCTTTTACAAATATGACTCATTTCAACGAGGTATTATCTGATTTTACCGAATTGTGTTTGTATGGGTTCACAGAATGGCAATTGATTTCTAAAAACATGGGAAACTGAAGCATTCTAGTTCAGATAAAGTATCTTGTAAATCCCACAATCTAGCTTTTCAACGTCGTATATGGTTCTTGGCTCATAACTTTTGAATTCTCCTTGACAAAACACTCTTCATACACTTGAATCTTGATATTGAAAATCTTTCATAATGAAGGCTTAGCAACTGCCAACTCTTAGTCTCTAGGTCGGCTTCCGTCCCTTTACAATTCTGGTTATGGCCAATTTTGGAGGTCTTGGACCATTGCTGAGATAGACTCTGAATATGAATTTTGCAAAATTAAGAAGTTCGGATTTGAACATAGCAGTTTATATGCACTTCTTCCACATCTTTCCACTTCTTTTGCTTCCAAGACTGTCATCATGCCATGTAATCATGCATGATGGCTAAGGGTGCAAATGGTTCAGATATGGCTCGAATGCGATATGCCAATACTTACCATATGCATATTCATTTATCAATCACGGATACGGATATGCCTCGATAAGCAAAACTCATATCCATATCTGTTAAAATTAGCTAAAGTTACAGACAGATATACATGAGGATATTAAACGGATATGAGAACCAGAGAATATTTTTAAAATATAGTTCATACAATGCAACAAAATTTTACTAATATGTTTGCTAAATCCAAAAGGCTAAGATTATATACCTTAATCATCACAATTCAAGGTTATAGAAAGCACTAAGTGGCCTAGGTGCCGAACTCGAGCTAGGACCTAGGCGTCTAGGTGGTTTTAATTTTTATTTTTTAATTACACTAACTGATAATAAATGCATCCCCACTAGGTGCAGAGACCATAGGAAATTTTCCAAATTTTTATTTTTTAATTACAATAATTGATAATACACACACACATTAAATTCACAGAAAATTGCAAGAAATAAATAGCAGTCATATATTCATAATTAACTATGCGTAATAGAGTACATAGTAAATACTATCGAACACCAACACAATACATCAATGTCAACTAGTAGGCGAGGCCTAAGCACGTTTCTTGAGGCCTAAGCACGTTTCTTTTTTTATTTAAGTGGTGGTGAGAGAGGTTTTTCTGAAGGTCGGTGGAGGTAGAGGAGGTGCTTCTAGTCGGTGGAGGCCAGAGAAGGTTGAAGGACGTGGGTGGAGGAAATCACGACCAAAACCTAGTCTGCATATGCGGCCCATGCTCCCCTAAGCGCTCTCAAGACCTAAACGAGCACCCTAGATTCCACTTAGGCCCACTGGGGCTAGGCGAAGTTAAAATTAACCTCAAACCCATCAATCTAAGGACAAACACAATTGCAAACCATATGATCGGGATTCTTAGGCATACTGATACTTCATTATTTATACTATATGATAGTAATATAATATATATATATATATATATATTATATATATATATATACTTATATATATATATATATATATAAAAGAAATATGCAGTATGTTGGTACCAGCCCACAAAATGTTAGTGCTGTGTAATGAGTGATCAAAGTCCTCTCCACTCATTCAAATGTGGAATAGAATTCACATTTTGGTAGTGAGTGAATAGGGAGTGGACACATCACTGTATCAAGCCACAAATTTATGCTTAGGTTACCAAGCCATACCTTATTTCTCTCTCTCGTCTCTCTCTCTCTCTCTCTCTCTCGTCTCTCTTCTCTCTCTTCGTCTCTATATAATATATATTATTATAATATATATATATATATATAATATATATATTAGTATACACACACACACACATACATACTAGGATGTGACACGTGTTTTGCACGTAATGCAAATTACGTGCAAAAGCACGTAATATGCATATGAGACTAAACATTCGGAGGATAATTTATTGACATTTATATTAGTTTTTCTCTCCATGAATTTGCATACTTGTATAACTAATAGATTAATGTTTTTTTCATAAATGGGCGGTGAACTCGATCGTAGATTAGTTCATTTCCTCAAAAGAAAAGCAATATAATCTTCTCTCTCAATTATCGCTTGTGAAATCTTGTTGACTGCGAGGCATTCCAGTTACTATAATCAAAGGGCTGACTCTATTATCAAAATTCTCATTTCCTCCAAGCTTTTTCTTTTGATTCTTTCTTTTGTGCATTTGAGCATCCATACATAACATAATTTTATGTGACTCTTAATATCCAAGTAGAATGTTTATGGATGTAGATTAGTCATGAAATAATTAATGCATAATTAATTAAGAGAATTTGATTAGTCAGTGTGAGAAAATACATGAATGTTTTCATTATGGGTTCATCTCTTACTATTCATATTAAATGCACTGTTAGTAGGTTAAAAAAGGCAGATGTCATAAATTTATTTATTAGTAGGATCTAATTATTATATTGCGATAGTTTTTTTATGGAAAGAGAGATTAAGACACATCCAAACTAAACTAAAAACCCAGAAGTATGACAAAAAAATGTGGATAAACGCTGCTCCTTATCAAAATGCAGAATATTGTGTAAAAACGATGGTGAGTCTTCGAACCATACCACAAAATCATTAATATTCTTAGCTCTTCGGACCAACACATGAGCCATTACATTCCTCGTTTGACGAACTGCCTCAAAATCCCATTCCTCGAGTGATGTGCAAATCGCTGAATATCATCTACAAGTGTTTGAAAATCAAGTGTTGCTCCCCTCCATTTTGGATATCTCTAATTATCACCTCCACATCTTCTTTGAAAATTATCTTTCCATATCCAATGTCAAGAGCAAATGTAATAACTTCCCATATTGCTTGGAATTCCGTATGCTTAGAATTATCTTGTATCCAAATATTATGATAAGTATATTGCAACAGTTAGTAATTATATGATGATAGTTTTATATGCTATTTCTAGACTATATAAGCTAAGAGGTAACATTTATATCAGAATTCCTCTCCATGAATTTTTTTTATATATCAAACACACATATTAATGTATTGTAGTATTAGATTAGATGTTAGATTTTTAATTAAATTTTTTTATATATCAAACACACATATTAATGTATTGTAGTATTAGATTAGATGTTAGATTTTTAATTAAATATTAAATTATCTTAAATTACAACATTAATGTATTGTAGTATTAGATTAGATGTTAGATTTTTAATTAAATATTAAATTATCTTAAATTACAACATAATTTATAAATATAAGTTATCATATTAAAATTGTATACTTATTGTATAATACATGATATCTAAAGTGAAGTATTTATCTTATTTAACATAAGACTAACATGATTAAAATTATGATATATATTAGTTCTTATGTTTATCGCAAGAATAATTATAGTGTAATAAATAGAATGAATTGAATAAATTTTGAGGAATATGATTAAAATTTATAATATATATTTAGTTTTTAATATTAGTTCTTATGTTTATTGCATGAATAATTATAGTGTAATAAATATAATTAATTGAATAAGTTTCAAGGTATTATTGGAAATTATCAAATTTTGAAATCAGAGGTAATCAAAAGTTTTAACATCCCAATCCTCTTTTATACACACACACAAACCATCTCTATATCCTAATGGATATGGATATATTTCCAGATACAGATACTTATTTGCACAGCTATTAATGGCCCATTAGCGCATGGCAGCACCCTAACCTTACTCCATACTGCCAGGTTATAATAATGAATTTTAAGTAGCATACTAACAGCTCGCTCATTTTATAATTCCTCGAGCGTATAGATAGCCTAGCTCCAGTTTGGTTTTTTTGAACAGGGGCAAATAAATCAGAATTTGGCAACCCAGATCCTTCTTTTTGTAGTTCCAGACCCAACCAACCCCACAATTTTAACAAATTTTCACAATCCAACAATATCCTTACTCCAAGCCCATAAAAATCCAAACTTTAACACAAAGAAAACCCCCGCCCCAAACCCAAATTCAGCGACCATCGATACCTGAGCAGGGAATCTTATCGCCATGGTGAACAAAGTATCGCCACCGACTCCAGCAGCGTAGAAGGCGGCGTTGTTTACAGCATTAAAGCTCGCGTTTCCCATCGCAGCGGAGATCGGTTCAAATATCAAGATCAGGGCAGCGATTATGAGGACGGTGATCCCCAGGACCACCGGAACGCTCTGGATCTTGAAATGCTCGGCGATGACGCCCGTTATCGGAGCAATGGTGGCGGCGCAGAACATCCACATGAACGTTAAGACGGCGTCTCCGATCGCAGTCTTGATCTGCTCCATCGATATCTAAGCTTTTTCTTCTTCCTTTTTTCCCCCCTTGTTCTTCTTTGGGGTTTGGGGCAGGGGAGGGAGTATAAGTAAGGAGGAAGAGGAGTGAGAATACCGAGAGAATCGGGGATTTTATGGATTTTTTTGTTGTGTTTCTAGATATTTGGACTTGTACTTTTGATATTTTTTAATTAACCCCTCACATAAAATGAAATTACTTTTGTTTCCCAAATCTTAGAATTTTTTTTAAAACGGACCCTTCTAGTTTGTTAGTGTTTGATTTAGAGAATATTCCTTTTACGTTTGATATGAACTCCATTTGGACCGTCAAGTTTTATATAATCCTTATCTATTTCTTTATATTTAAATTAAATAGTCAGTGGATCATAATTCAAAGTTGTTCAATACCTTCTCTTAACCTAGTTGATGGTGATGAATTATATAGTCATAACCCAATGTCATAACTAGCACATTGGACTCAATTTCCTACGGATGGACTAATTTGAAACATCTTATAAGATTTTGAAGGCACAAAAGCAATTTAAACAGTTTGATTAGCTAATATAAAAATTAAGTTATTAAATGGCTTATGACTTTTCACTTATGTGGACTTTTTTAATATTTAAATACCTTATAGTTTTTTAAAATAGTACATTATGTTGGGATATTATGATTAAATATTAGAATACTTTCCTTAAAATTGTCACGTGACTTGCACATAATAAAAATTGATTAATATATATGTGAATTGCAACATTTAGCTAATAACAAATAGTAAGGTGCTACTGTTAGATCTACATCATAAACTTGAGATCTAAAACCATATAGCCATGATTAATTCAAAGAGATTAACAAGGATCTAAAAGAACGGAAACTTATACCTGAATCCATTGCTTGATCTTGATTTTGGGTTTTGGATCTTCTAACCTTAGGGTTTCCTCTAAAACCGAATTTCTCTCTTAGATGGGGGTGAAGAGAATTAGAGAATGTAGTAACCCTAGATTAGGGACCATAACCCCTTATTTATAGATGTTGTACTTTTGTAATTTAGCCCCTCAATAAATCACAATTACAACCTGGTATCTGCACATATAACCCCATGACTTATTTAAATACCAAATTAACCCAACTTAATTGATCACTTTAGTGGGTTATCCTGAAAGATAGCAATACACATTGATTAATCATATGTGCCCACAAATAGATTTATTAGATTAAATCCAACAATCTCCCACTTGGGCACCATATGATTCCTTAAATTGTGTATAACCTTATGAGCTCAAAAATTGCTATCACTGAAAAGGTATTTCCGAACAATCTCGTCCATTGACTATATCAATATAGGATCAAAGCGGCCTTCGTCACATTTATCGTGACTCGACCCATCAATGGTCACATATACCAATACAATCAAACGACATAGATCAATCATGGATGTGCAGCATGAAAATTACATGCAATGTGATCAGTACATGTCTATTTTCAACTGGTCCTCCTTAGTGAGGTCAAAACCAAACATAATGTAACAGAGTGTCTTAACTGAAAACTTTATTCTGATCAGACAATACAAACAAACATAAAGCACCGCAAATACAAACTCCCACTAAAACATAATATCCTCAAATAATACCACACCCATATGAGCAGTATGCTCATGAAAGACCTTAGGTGGTAATCCATTAGTAAGAGGATCAGCTATCATGGAGTTTGTCCCAATGTGCTCTATGGATATCTGTCCACTCTGTACCCTTTCTTTCACAACCAGGAACTTAATGTCAATATGTTTTGACTTAGTTGAGCTCCTGTTGTTATTGGAATACATTACTGCAGATTTATTGTCACAATATAACCTTAGTGGTCTTTCAACATTTTCCAAAATGCGCAGTCCCGTGACAAAATTTCGCAGCCATATTCCCTGATTGGATGCCTCATAGCAAGCTACAAATTCTGCTGCCATAGTGGAGGAAGCTACTAGTGTTTGTTTGACACTTTTCCATGATATAGCTCCTCCTGCTAACATATAAATGTAGCCTGATGTAGACTTCCTGCTATCTTGGCATCCAGCAAAATCAGAGTCCGAATACCCAATGACCTCTAATTTCTCTGATTTTCTGTATGTGAGCATGTAATCTTTTGTTTTCTGAAGATACCTCATAACCCTTTTGACTGCTATCCAATGATCCATACCAGGGTTGCTTAAGTATCTGCCTAACATCCCAACAATGTACGCAATATCCGGACGCGTACATACCTGAGCATACATTAGACTTCCTACAGCCGAAGCATAAGGAATCTTCTGCATTTCCTGAATTTCAAGGTTACCTTTAGGGCACTGATTGAGACTAAACTTGTCTCCTTTAGCAACAGGGGTGTCACCTGGTCTGCAATCTTGCATGCCAAACCTTTTAAGTACCTTATCGATATAGCTCTTTTGTGATAATCCAAGAATACCCCGAGAGCGATCTCGATGTATCTGGATCCCTAATATAAAAGAGGCGTCCCCAAGATCTTTCATCTCAAAATTCTTTGATAGAAATCTCTTGGTTTCGTGCAACATGCCTATATCATTAGTGGCAAGCAAGATGTCATCCACATACAGAACCAGAAAAATATACTTACTCCCACTGAACTTGTGATATACACAGTCATCAACAATGTTCATCTCAAAACCGAACGAGATAACTATTTGTTGAAACTTATGATACCATTGACGAGGAGCTTGCTTGAGTCCATAGATGGATTTCCTTAATTTGCAGACCATATTCTTTGGGTCTCCCGACACAAAGTTTTCTGGTTGCACCATATAGATCATCTCATCAATGTCTCCATTGAGAAATGCAGTCTTAACATCCATCTGATGTAACTCAAGATCATAATGAGCAACAAGTGCCATGATTATTCTGAAAGAGTCTTTCGATGAAACCGGAGAGAAAGTCTCTGTATAATCAATGCCTTCCTTTTGAGTATAGCCTTTAGCCACAAGACGTGCCTTATACCTCTCCACATTACCGTTTGCATCCCGCTTGGTTTTAAAAATCCATTTACAACCAATTGGTTTTGCACCTTCTGGTAATGGGACAAGTTCCCAAACCTTATTGTCTTGCATAGACTTGTACTCTTCATTCATGGCATCAATCCACTGTTGAGAGTTAGAACTTTTCATGGCCTGAGAGAAGTTGATTGGATCATCTTCTAACATTCCACTACTTTCCTCATGTTCTTGGAGAAATACAATATAATCATCCGGAATAGCATTTCTCCTTTCTCTCGTGGATCTCCTTAATGGCACTGGTTCTTGAGGTTGTTGAGTTTGTTCTTCTGGAACAGGGAGTTGTTCAACATTATCATCTTGAGGTTCCGGATTTACTTCTTGAGCAACAACAGGTATAGGAACCTGAATATTGTCAAAAGTAACTGTATGGATTGGATCTGAAGCCAATTCCTCCTCAAAACTAATGTCTCTAACCTTATTTCTCCCCCCAAACTCAACATCCTCAAAGAATGTTGCTGTTCCCGTCTCAAAAATGTTCCTTATAGTGGGATCATAAAACTTAAAGCCCCTAGAGCGTTCAGAGTATCCAATAAAGTAGCTGCTAACTGTTTTGGAGTCCAATTTCTTTTCATTTGGCCTATAAGGCCTTGCCTCAGCTGGACATCCCCAAATATGTAAATGCTTTAAACTGGGCTTTCGACCAGTCCAAAGCTCATAAGGTGTTTTAGCAACTGCTTTACTTGGTACTCTATTCAGAATGTAAGCTGCTGTCTTAAGTGCTTCTCCCCAGAGTGACTCTGGTAAAGAAGAATGAGCAATCATACTTCTTACCATATCCTTAAGAGTCCTGTTTCGTCTTTCAGCTACACCATTCATGCTAGGTGAACCCGGCATGGTGTACTGTGGGACGATACCGTATTCCTCTAGGTATCTAGCAAATGGTCCTGGACGTTGTTCACCTGAACCATCATATCTACCGTAGTACTCACCACCACGATCAGATCTGACGGTTTTAATTCTTCTGTTGAGTTGATTCTCAACTTCAGCTTTATAGGCTTTGAACATGTCCAGAGACTCAGATTTTTCATGAATAAGATATAGGTGCCCATAACGTGAGTAATCGTCTATGAATGATATAAAATATTGTTGACCATTCCAGGATTCCGTAGGGAATGGCCCACAAATATCCGTATGTATCAATTCTAAGACATCCGAAGATCTGTTGGCACCTAATCTTTTCACTTTGGTCTGTTTTCCCTTGATACATTCAACACATACGTCGAAGTCCGAAAAATCAAGGGAATCCAAAATGCCATCAGACACAAGACGCTCAATTCTACCTTTTGAGATATGACCTAAGCGCTTATGCCATAATGTCGCCGAATTTTCCTTATTTAATTTACGCTTAGTACCACGTGATTCCACATGCAAGGATTCATTGTAAGAAGCAATTGTATCAAGCAAATATAGGTTGTCATAAATACTCAAGTAACCGGTTCCCACAACATTTGAATTAAAAGATAAACTGAATTGACTGTTTCCAAATGAACAAGAATAACCTGATTTGTCCAATACAGAAACAGAAACCAAATTCCGTCTAAAAGACGGTACTACAAAAGTATCTTTTAAATCCAAATAATAACCAGTTCCTAACAACAACCTAAAGTGCCCAATTGCTTCCACATCTACCGATTGTCCGTCGCCCACAAAGATGTGTCTTTCAACATCACTTGGCTTTCGGTAGCTCAGGCAACCCTGCATAGAAACACTTATGTGAGTAGTAGCACCAGAGTCTAACCACCAAGTGTTTCTAGGTACTGAAGCTAAATTAACCTCAGAACAGACCAAAGCAAGGAACGTACCCTTATTATCACGCCAGGCGTGATATTTTGTACAGTCCTTCTTTACATGTCCAGGCTTCTTACAGAAGAAACAACCCTGATTATCCTTATGTTGTTTCTTCTCAACTGGACCCTTAGCAGCTTCCTTATCATTCTTCCTTTTCTTGCCCTTATCCTTAGAGGCATAGGCCAAATGAGCACTTTCTGTCTTATCTTGCTTCAACCTGTCTTCTTCTTGCACACAGTATGAAATGAGCTCATTTAGAGTCCATTTCTCCTTT